AAAAGTGGAGATATAAAGATACTACGCGAAAGAGCACGTTTTACGAAAAATAATCTATCTCAACTGGCATTGTTAAAATGTAATAGAAGTTTACTTTAGTAACTTTTTCTGTTTCAACAAGATTGATGTATTAAATGGCACAGAAAAAAAAAGAAATGAACCACAATCATCAAAAAAGAATCTAAAAGATTACCGGACTCGAAATGGACTCGGACTCGGACTCGGACTCGGTCCTTAATGTTAGGGACTCGGACTCGGACTCGGCTCGGACTCGGTCCCTCCCGGACTCGTCCATGCCTGGTGGGTATGATATAAATACATACTGCTAGAATCCGAAACGTACAGAACTTATCGCTTTATTGGATAAAGTACGTCTAAGATCGAAATACGTGAGATTTCAAACAATAGAAGCACAGCTGTTCAGGTAGTACACAGAATGTAACAAAAAGTGTAAAAATCACAATAACATTGGATAGAAGAACGAAATGGAATAAGGGCTTGCTAGTTATTGACCAGTCCTATCGGTTCCTGTTTATCGTCATATTTGCTAATACTAAACTTCGAGTCTAACGCTTTATATACAGTAATTCTACTAGAAAATTAAAAAGAAGATTAAAGCAAACAAAAAAAAACGTCGAGATTAATAATCATGTATTTTTGTTTTTTACACAAGAAAAAGCTCCGTTCACGAATAGGCGATGATAGTTATGCTTATTTTCTGATTTAAGAAAACAGAAATCTGTTTTTAGCTACCAAAATAATCCTGTGACTGGTTCAATCACATGCTCATCATCATCTTGTTGTTCATGTCTTCGATCTGTACCACGATATACCACAAGTATAATTGGTAAAGCACCCAAACTAAACCCATTTATCAAATTTTCCAACTTGTGTCCATTCATTAATTTTTTTAAATATGAACCAAAATGATGTTGCTAATATTGGTGCCAAGGATGTTAAAATTGATAATTAGTTTGCTAATATCCGTCAGAAATGTACCAGTAATATAGGTACCAATATATGAAAAAATAAATAATAGTTCTGTTCCTGGCGGTAATAAACAACTGGATGATGTATGACTACTATCAACTCTATTAAAAAAATATTTAAAACTATTTGAAAATAATAACCAAAATCTATGTAAATTATCGGATGTACTAAAATTTGGTATTAAATGAAAACCAAAACTCAAAGTAATACTTAAAAATTGAAATAAACTTTCAATAGTTTGAAGATAAATAACAGGAAATCCTTTTATGCCTAGTGATCGATGATTTATTTGCTGTTTCATTTCTTCAATATATTTTACTTGTAATTGTTCTTGAACAATATTCATTAAAGCAGCTGGTATTTATTCCTAAAATAAAAATAAATAGCCAGTATTAACCATGTTTTAATTCTGTTGTTGATGTTTCATCATATATTCGTTTAAATTTTGATATTATACTAAATAAAATACCATTACAAAACAATACGAGCCGATAAAATATGATACCAACGGTAAAATTTATGTTTTAATAATAATTTTGATAAAATAAATGTAAATGGTATCATTGATTGTACAAGAATCGCTAGAGATGGTGGCACACGACTTGCATGTGAACTAAAAACAATTAAAAAAACCATTTAGTATCATATAATCCCACTAAAAACATATATTTAATCCATTTCAATTGTATCATTTCTCATGCATTTTGTTGTTTATAATATAAGACATCAGTAATTGGCTAAAAACTAAATTAAATGGAAATGAACAAAAAAATGAATCAAAATAAACATATGTTAAACCTTGAAAAGTACCCAAAAATAATGTTAAATCGATTGATACCAATTGATAAGAGAACATTTAAAAGTCATAAATAATAACAATTAATTTAAGATGCACGTAATGCAAAGAACTACTGCATTTTATTTTTCGATGTATTATACATATTCTGATTCATCAGGTTGAGCTGATCACGGATATCATCTTCATAACCTCCAAAAGCCTTTTCTTCAGGATCAAAATTCCAAAATACTAAAAACCCTTAAAAAAAGGCAAAACTTTTTGGTTTTGAAAATTCCTTCGCAGTTTTTTCCCAGATGGGTTCAGTGACTTGAGCTTATCATTTTTGAATTCCTCCTGGAAAACTGAGTCTAGCCAAGTTAGTCTTAATCTGTAAACCTTAATGCAAAACTTCCGCAAGGCCCAGAATATATGATAGTAGAAAATGTAGACCCTCTGCTAGAAATTGAACTCTGGGTTTCAGGTTAGACACTAGGTTTTTGGTTCATACATCATTCGATAGCCCAAATAACACGCTACAAAGTTATGAAAAGCTTTTTCAAAGTTTTTTTCGTTGCTGAGAAAATTCTCTTTTTCTAAATCAGAGGCGAAAAAGTCGGAACTCTATCCATAATTCTCAATTTCCTTGATCAAAGGTCAATTTTTGAGCAATAAAAATATCATATTCGGAATCAGGATCAAAAACTAAGTCCAGTGATGAGTATTTTGAAATTTTTGATTGATTTTCGGTTTTTGGTGGTAACTTTTCAACGTGAAAATTCGAAAACAACTAAACTAGTCGGATAGGGTAGAAATACACACTCAGTTTTTGATCCTGATTCTGAAAACGATATTTTTATTGCTGAAAAGTTGAGTTTTAATCGTGAAAATTGAAAATTACGGACAGAATTCCGACTTAGTCGTCTCTTTTTTGGGATTTTAGTCAGGAAGAATATATTTTTGGATGCCAGGAAGGTGATATTCGTGATCAGCTCAACCTGACGAATCAGAATATATATAATACATCAAAAAATAAGATGCACTACTTCTTTGAATTACGTGCATCTTAAAACTAAATGGTCCACCATGAAAAATAGTAAAACCCGAATGTGAAAATTTCAAATTTCTGTTGTTATTGTTTCTCTTGATGAAGTTATACAAGATACCTAACTTTTGCGTGCACTCTCCGCCACATAGTGGCCATATAGGCGGAAGTTTGGCTCAAAATCGTTAGTGCGCTTTTTTGAGATTTGAATACCGTCATATATATTTTGGCTAACGGCCGATTTAATGGTGAAAAAAGTCCTTTTGTAAGGGTTTTCCTTGTTCAGAAAATTGGTAAAGAAAATCCACGTATTAATTAGCGCGTTTTTGAAAACGTTGATTGCGTATTTCGAACAAAGCGATCGAAACAAATTGTTTTGATACTTTCTGCAAGAGATAAATTGCATCTAAAAGACGACATCAGCAATGCTTTAAGTACTTTTTTCTCCATATGTAAACAAGGATCCAATTTGTATTTGTTACAGAAAAGTATTCAATGAAAAACTGAATGGTATATGAACCATCGTTATGTACCATATTACTAAGGAGAAGTGGTTTATTTCAAGCATCCCTTACCTAGTGACCATGTGCTTGAGTGACCATATTTTCCTATTTTCTCCCATAAGCAAGAAAGGATCCAACCGGTCTTTAGTATAGAAGAATAGCTCTTGAAAAGTTCTACAATATTTTGAGTAAACAAACTCTACATACCATTGGCTCAATTCATTATAATTCAAATATGAGAAAAGTCAAGGAAATGCACACATTATTTTGTAGTTTTCATCATCAAAAAATTTCAATTTTTTCTCAAAACCAACATCATGTTTGGAATTACCATTGAAAACTGCATTGAACAATCTTTGTTTCGGAACTTTTAGACAACTTTTTGATTTTTCAGCAAAAATCTCTGTCGAAAACATTCAAAATTGTCCAAAAATTCCGAAACAAAGATTGTTCAATGCAGTTTTCAATGGTAATTCCAAATTTTGCAAACTCCATGATATCTCTAAATATTTGTTAAATCAATCATATTTCAGTTAGCAAGATCAGGCATCTAAAATATTCACCTGGAGCAGAAAAACAGGTCGATTGGTGAGATTTTTAGAAAAACAAGCAACTGTATTAGAGTCAAACTCTGATTGCGGTCGTCATGTATAATGGCGCCGTTACGACAAGGAATGCAGTTAGTTGTTTGTTGATTAATATTAATTAGTTCTCGTAAATCTTACGCAACTTCTAGTAAATTTTAATCAACTAATAGATTAAAGAATGTTCGGAAAGATTATTAAGGTTTAGTTCAAAACAATACTGAACGAAGAAATACGAACAGAATTTTGAACGCTAACTGAAATAAGCAAAATGGTGCTTCACCTTCAAAAACTGGTAAGTATCTAGTAAGTATACTATAAATATAAGTTAATGATCATCGAAGCAATCTCTAATCTTCGATGACAATAAAAGCGACCAAAAGGTCCTATTTTCAGATCTTTTTATGCGACTAATCGTCAACTGACTACTTATTTTTCTTTTTTTACACAGCCTTATAGAATATGGAGTGATCGAAATTATACTAACACATAAGAAAATTACATGAGACAGAAGAAAAATAACATTAAAGAAAAGAACAGTAAACGAAATCTGTTTTATGACTACTGTTAAATATAGTGTAATATGCCGTGAAAACCTTCAGCGGAGCCACGAGATCAAAATACTGTCAGAATCCCGACGAGATCTCTGCACCGTGGGACTTGTCACGTTGATTCCAAATATGTGAAAATCTTGAGATGCGCTTCTCTAGAAAAAAGAACCAATAAATTTTGATCTGATTTGCGTGTTATCATTTATCATTTTTCTTTATCAATCAGTTACTACTCTGCGCAGTTAACTAGATAATTGTTGAACATACATTCGCGATTACAAGACTACCATAACCCAAAGAGAAAGCCGGAAAGTCATGTTAGCCGAGAACTACTTTAAGAAATGATGCTGCTTTTAAATTGGCGTAGAAAGTACGTTTTCGTCTCATGATCCGCCCCGATATCGACAGCTCTGTATCTCAAACAGTAGACTACCCTTTTCTAAAAAAATAGTTCCTCATTGAGTACAACTTGTGTGCTTCAAACTGACATAGAAAACGGGAGATTAATTTTATTTATTCTATTTTATTTTAATCTATCAAGTTGACAGAATATACAGTGATTTCATAGTGAGAAAAGATAAAACATTTTCACTTTCTTTTTTCTATGTCTGTCTCTGTATATGCGTAAAAACAGGAAAAATCAAACAAAGAAAAATGACATTATACAAGCAGAACAAAAAGCGCAATTTTTAAAATTGAGCGATATCGTTGAATACAGTGATATTCTAAGCAGAGCTTCTGAGATCCCAAAATTGCCTGTACCTCGATGAGACTCTCTGCTTTAATAAGAAAACACACTCCGTATGTACAATTTTAAAAGCACACGGGAACAAAGCACAGTGAGAAAAAGCAAAATAGTCTAGAAACAAAACTAGAACACGCCAGGTGTTTGAGCTAAACGAGCTTTTATTCGACAAATATCACTTTGCGCATTAATTATATGTGGATGATATGCTATTAACGTTTGATTATAATAATCTAATGCTTTTTGTAGAAGTTCGACTGCTTTGACCGTTTCTCCTTGGCTATCGTAAACATGTGCCATCACATGTAGATTACGTGCAATTGATACATGATTATGTGGAAAAATTTTTTGCTTTCTTTTCAATGCCTTTTCCAAATTTAAAATCGCATTTTCATGATCACCTTGTAAAAAATACACTCGACCACAGTTAAAATAGCTCATTGCTATCTCTGGATGGTCATCTGGCAAATGCTCTTTTCTTATTGTCAATGCATTTAAATAACAAGCTAGAGCATTAGTGTACTTTCTCCTACCAAGATAAATATCTCCGAAACCGTTTTTACAAAAAGCAAGATTTAGCTGTTGATTTGGCAATTGCTTATAAAGTTCAACGGCTCGTTTAAGCCAATGTTTTGCCAAACCATAATTTTTTTGATATACATAAACACTAGCCTCACGTGCCTGTGAATTGGCCATACCTTGTTTATTACCTAGTTTCTTATAAATTTCGTGTGATCGTTGTAAACATCGTAGGGCGAGCTTGTAATCACCTTCTAAAATATAAGCATCACCCGTATAATAATAAACGTTAGCTAGATCGTTCGTTTCATCATTGCAGAATGACAATAACAGATTTTCAAAATAGTTAATTGCTTTTCGATGTTCACCCATTTGATTTAGTAATTGTCCAAATAAGATCGTTTCGTTTCCACCAGCCATTTCTTGTTGTCGGTATTTAATATAATCTTGAGCAATCTTTTTTCCTTCGTCTGTTCCATGCATTTTTATATTCAAATACGTATTCGTTCCCGAATCGTCTGTTCGTTCCTCAATCTGATCTAATTTAAATGTCGTGCCCAAACCAAACAACACTTCTTGTTCTTCTCCATAACTACTGAACTGCGATATAAGATCTGTTCGGACGCTAGGTAGTCAAGGCAGGGGTAAGGAATGGCCTCCAAATGACTACGATTGGCTACGATAAGGGGAGAAGCAAAAGGTTACTAATTGCGTAGTCATTTAATATTTTTCTTATGATGATAAAGACGTATTTAACTGTATTTATTCGTGGTTGAAGAGGGAATTCATTTACATGCTCAGGTTTTCGATATTTTCGCTGAGATTTGCTCATTTCCTATGCCGTGCTGAGTCCGGTTCAAAATTCACTGTGTGGACTACATCCAGAGAAATGCAACCATATATAAAAAACCGGAACTTTCCGCAGTTAGCCTAATGAATTTCGTCAACTGTCTGAATAAATGGAGTAATACCAAATGGTTGAGAATTTCTTTTTCTAAAAGAGTATCTCATAAACAAATTGGATCTTTATTGTTTTTTAACTGAGCAGCCAATGATGAATTTTTGAATATTTATCCTTTCTTTTATTCTTCCAGTTAGGTGCCATACACGATTTGTGGAATATTCACGAACTTTAACGTTGAATGCACGATATATAGATATTCTCCGAAGCGGAAAGCTTGGAAGGATCAGTCGCTTCTGCCTGATTGATTTTCAAAAGGGCAAAGTGAGGCTGAGAAGATTTATGCTGACCATACTCTGCTTCTCTACACTGTGGAGGTTTTGGGTAAGTACTACAAAAAGCTGAGTTTTCTTATTCAGCTCTGGTGACTGCTGGTTCTGCTAGTACTCTCTGCCAACAAACTTTTCCCAGAAGGGAGATGAGTGTCCTACATAGCCTTACAGGAATTCCAGAAGCACCGTTTAACCAAAGGTGACTCTAAAATAGACCGGATGAAATCTTGAAAGAGGCAAAACTCATAGCTCACCGAATCTCGCCCTTCCCAGCACTTCCTATCGTCAACTAAATCGATACCACTATACTGACTCCCATCAGACTTTCCTGTGCATATTTTTTGTTCCCTTATCCACTCTCACAATAGTTTCCCACAACGTTTGATTCTTCTTTAAATTAGACTATTCGTTTCGCAAACTGTGGATGTTATGAAAGTATTACTCATGAAAGGTTCCTGCTTCTGCTTCTACTATTTGCATCTAAAGTCACACTCTTCGAGCAAGTGGAATTTCTCAGTCATATCATTATATCCAACTCAATTTAACCACTAAATGATTGAATCAAAGCTATTCTTGAAATACCAGAACCACAAACAAATTTATTGGAAAAATTAGCTGGTACTGAAACTTATATTGAATTTTACTCAAATTGTATCATCTATTCAGAAAGTGATAAACGAAAATTATTTTGTTGGCACGATGAACAAAAACACGCATTCATCAATTTGGAGAAATTATTGACAGAACCATCATTACTATATTTTAAAAGTATTTCTACTCACACAAAATTCATTTTGTGTTTTTCAATAGTTTTAGTTTAGAATACTATAATGGAATATTTTCTGCCTGTAATCTGAAATAATAAACCTTATGTCATACCAACACTCTCCGGCATTTGTTTAACTGTAGCATGATAACCGATGGAGGATTATGTGAGCTCCTTCTGTGGCAAACACTTGTGACACTTATATTACATACCTAAACTCATCAACGCTACACTATTTGATGCTACATTGCTGAGAGCCACATACATATAGAGTTCTCAAGGGACTTTCCCTTGGGAAATCTTATATCAGTGGACTGGTTAACACTCATAAGTAACTCCAGTCGAATCAGTTTTTCATCAGCCATTTCTTCCAGCAAAAATAAGTTCGGTCTTACTGCTTTTTGTTTTAGAGAGGCGGTAAGAGCGCGTACTTCTTAACAAAGGTATTCTTTATTCTCTCGTTTATCCAAAAGTTGCGCAGATACTTTTAATAAGCTGTCTGTCGGAGAATTTTTAGGATTTTCTGCAAAAAAAATTGATTTGCTTCGACAAAGGCCTGTTAAATACAGGGACGACACCATTGTTGCTGAGAAGTAGTAAAGAAAACGGCAAGGAAATACACGAAGAAAGAAAAAGGGATGGATACACACACAGATTTTTTGGCGCTTTAAAAACAACAGAACTTTTTGACTACGTTCCATGGGGAAGGGGAAAAAGAGTGAGTATGTGAAAGACTACACTATCAGTAGATAAGAGGTGATTCAGAAGTCCCCAGTAAATTGAATACGTTGTTTTCGAAAAGCTCCATATCAGCTACAACTACTTCCAATTTTAAATCGACAATAATCTCGAAAACAGCTCTGACTATACTACTAGCCGGTCGTCGGCCACATTTTGCATTGGCAAACAACTGAGCTACTTTTGGACAATAACTTGTTGAAAGAAAAGTATTTGCAGCTATTAAACCACCATCTTCTAGAATTTTCTTTAGTTTATCAACTTCATCTATAGTCAATTTGAGGCCACGAAAGACCTGAATGGTTGACTGTGTCGCGATATTTGACTGTTTATATTTCTTTGACTGCTCGATTAAATTCAGGCATAGATCAACAATATAATAGCGAAGCGCGTACAACTGTGCGACATCTTCAGTTCGTAGGGCTTGATTAATAATTCGAAATAGAAAATAATCTTTAGTATATTCGTTAATTGCATTTTCTGATTTATACTCCCGTTCAAATTGATCAATATTAATCATTTCTTCTTCGTTTATGCCTCGATAATAGTTTCGACATAGTGTTAGAAATTCATGTTTCGCTTGTTCAGTATGATAGGGTAGTTTCAATAACATTTCTTGTAAGAGTTGAAACCAAATGAATTCAGCTGATTCTATGTTTAAATCTCGTGTTGATTTTTGTTTTGCTGTATTATAAAAATTAAATACTGTCAAATGAGCAATCTGTTCAATATCACTTTTCAGAATGAGTATTAGATCATGTGCATCATCAAATATACCCTTAATTTTATTGAATTCAACCATTAATGGTTGATATCTATCACAACGAAAACAGTATATATAAACCGAATGGATATGTTTCGACGAATGAATTTTAGTTAAAATATCTTTTGTCGATTTTCCAGCTACTATTAGAAATACGGTTTTACTTCTGTTTTCGATCGAACTAATATATTCGAGAAACTTTTCTTGAGATGTATAAAACTGTACATGATCAGTGATCTTGGAGAATTTCGTTTTTGTATCGCTTGCGTCTGAAGCCATATTTTCATCAAACCAAATTAACACAACATCATTATTTATGGGTACTTCTGTAGTCGTATCACCTGTTGTACTGGCGTTATTGTTCAGTAATGCGGTCGAAGGTGCACTACTCGCATTATCTCCATCATTTAACATATCATGTTGCGATTGATTTGAAACTTTCGAGCCCATGTCAGCGAAATGTAATTACTAGTTCTACGCTACTTGTCTGCTTGACGATACGAGTAATCAGAGAAAAATGCTTGTACCTTTATTGCACACAAATAGACATTCAAATAAAAACAAAATTGATTATTGTATGTACTAAAGATGTTCGGTAATTACCCAATTTTATAGAAATTTCATGCATCGACCTGCGAACATTGACAGGTTATATACATCGCTACTTTTCAATAACTATGTCTTACTGCCTAGAAGTAGGAAGTTTTTTTTCTTCAAATGATTGTCTTTTATCCTGTTGCCACGAAATCGATCAGGTATTTCACACCACGATGTCTGAGCTTTCCATTCACAAAGTATATGTTTCTTAAAGCATAGAACAGAAAGTTTCCCATGTTACTTTATAGAGAGCACAAGTATTCATATTAACCGATTCGATGCTAGAATCCTGTAGTAAACTGTCGGATCGTATCGGATCTTGTGGAAAATCCTATTTTGACCCAAATTTCGAGACACGAAATAGATAACAGGCCTGGCAGACTTTAGCAGAATTTCAGAAAAGATTCTACAAATAATTGCTGGTCATAACCAGCGGGTAAATAAACGGAAGAAAACAAAAATAACATTACTTCCTTTTTGGCAAACGTTGACCTTGTCAGTAAGAACTAGCATAACTCAACCTGAAAAACACACGACACAAGATAAAAATGCATTTGGAATGTAGTGACAGAAATAGATTCTCATCTGTAAGAGATGACGCGATTCGACAAATTCAAAAACTGCCTTACTACACTTATTCAAAAATAAAAGAAGATTTGGGCATCTTGGATGTTCTTTGGAAGAGGAAAGATAAGAATCTTTTGTTTTCACTTTTATCGGGTAATTGACTTTCCTTTTATCCGAGTTCACAGACGGCGCCTATGTAGAACAAAGAGAAAATGTTTTTCTCTATGTTCCGCAAAAGTGACATCTATTTGCTTTTTGTGCTGGTTATAGTGACGGATCGTAGTAGAATTGTATCTGCTGAAACTTCATTAAAAACTTAGTCTGCTTCCATCATTTTTAAATTTTTCTTGTGACTCATTATACCTTTCAACGGCTAAAAAGAGGCGTTTTTCCGCAGTTTTATACCTATTCTGAACACGTTTGTGATCTAGTATCAAAAAAGTAAACAGCGTCGAAAGAGTGTTTGAGGTTTCGTTCGAGAACGATGTACATTTTGTTGTAAAAACGTTGGCGTGATTTGCTCTGTTCTCAGAATTCTTCCATGTGATATTCTTCATATGTTTCAGAAAAGAAGGCTTTTTTCTCATTCTCTGTCTAAACTTCGCGCCTTATCACATTCACGGTTTTGTATGATCTCACTACTTTTTTCACAAACGCGATAAAAGCTTTTTTTTGTGAAACGTAGGAAGAATATAACTTAGGAGAATTCTGATAACAGAGCGAATCACGCCAAAATGAATCACGCTATTTTGTTTACAACAAAATATATATCGTACAAAAATATGAATATTAATGTTAGAAAACTAATAACTATCCACTGCAAACAAATTATGAGATTCTATTTTCGAATGTCCTGTACTCGAATATCGTAGTTTGTTAAGTCGGAAAGGATCGCTTCTGGGAAAATACAGAGCGTGTGTAACATCATATCGGCATGGCTCTACTGTTATCATATTAATATTCACATGCACTGTTATTGATTTGGATGTATCTAATATTTGCTTACGTTGTAACAACATTGGATAGACTTCCACTTGTTCTTGAGATGAAAGGTATTCTATCAGACTTCGTATTGTTGTTACCAATTCTTCGTTACCAGCTATTTTTTCTAGCGAAGTAGATGTTGACTGTTGTTCATTAGATGATGATGATTGAGATTGTAGAGAAGTGCCAAAACACTGTATTGTCGGAACAAGTACCATTATTGTGCCTAATTTACGCGATAATGTACAAATGCGGGTTTTTAGATTGTAAATAGTTAATTTTGTATGATAATTATCTACTTTTAATAAAACACGTAGTAACAATAACGAACGTTGGTGAAGATGTTGTGCTCAATTTCACATCAAATGGTATCTGCGCAGTTTCTTCTAAAATGTTAACAAACGTTTTCCCTTTCGTCCCTTGTATACCTAATAAATTCTTATTCAGGTCGATGGTAGCATGACATTTTCTAAGTCAATTATTCCCTAAAAGCATACCAGAAACGAGTTCTTTCACTATTACAGATGTTACCATTGTTGTAATGTGACAGACATTGATGTGCAAATCCACCAGACCAATAATTTTCATTTTACGTTGATCAGCTAATTCGAATGATTGTGTTTTGCCGTAAATTTTTGAATGATGAAGCTTAGTCAATTGTTGTTGAGTAGCGAAGGTGTTAGCTCCAGTGTCCACTAGGATTCACATTATTCTGTTGTTCACCGGGACATATATGTAAGCCATGGAGGATGTTGAAACTGTTGTGCCTGATTGTGGGTTTGTGCTGTTGTCGTTGGAGGAGCTACCATCATGCACCTTTACTACGCGTGTAAAGGACATTGTGCAGCATAATTACAATATTTGCCACAAGTAAAACATAACTGATTTTGCTTTCAATAAATGAAGCGTTGTTAGTCTGATAACCTAATTGTAGTGGCTGATTCGTCCACCTCTTTGATTCAGGCAATCTTTGCTAAAGATATCTGAATTTCTGCATCTTCCGTCTGATGTTTTAACCAAAACTCAACAATAAACACTGCTAATGGATTTTCAGTTTTGCATGGTTCACTAACAAAATATCGTTGTTTTACATTCCTCATTTTACTTTTGACAAAACACTTCTAATGTTAGGTGAATAAATACTATTTGCACCTTATTTTTACTATATTATCAATAGTATTCAATCATTATGCTCATTTTAATTGACATTTTATCATTTTGTGATCAGACGAGAAAAAACATCTTTACCTGTTTTACTTTCCATTGATGGGTTAAACCATTTCTTCTTGTGCGCTTTTACGGTTCAATGAATGTGTAATAATTTTGCTGCCTTTTTCCAACTGTATGCAAAAGTAAGGAATATCATAGCATTAAACATGCTTGTTTGTTTACCTAAACTTATTTTCATAAAAGTAGAAGCAGAACTAACTAATAGGGTTCTGGATGGAATCGACTAGTCATTATACCATTCCTGGATCCTAATATCAAAGGAAATTAGTAGTACAAGAACAAAAATAGCATCAGTGCGAGAAAGAAAATACATAAATTGCGTGGGGGAGAGCGAGGTACAGCAAAGAAAAGAATAAAATTGTAAACATCGAATCCTAAAGATTCTTCTATATAACATACAACTGCATGATAGATAACAGAGTAATGATCCTTACACAGTTCATTATGAAGAAGCAGTTAAGTCTTAAGAGAACAACTCACATTAGGTATCGAATTTCCTATAGATTTAAAAAGTTCAGCTCGCTGACTGATATGGAGAGAACAGTCTAGTAAATAGTGGTGCACTGTATCTTTCTCATCGCATAAACAATTTTTATCACGTAGTAGTGTTTTGATATACAAATCGTTGTTCAATGACGAGAAACCACAACACATTTGGTAACGGAGTTTGTCTACTGCGAGTTGAATACCATACACGCCAAAAAATTTTAGCGTGTCTGTAGTTGTTTTTAGTTTCCATCTGAAGGCTTTTAAACTCTTACATAGGCACATTGCTTTACTTAATTAGTTCTAATTTTTAACAGCGGTAGGAAAAAATGTATTTTCAAACTTTTTACTGTGAAAACACTTATTCATAACCCAGCTACCTTGAATTTTATTTTCCACTTGCGATACACTCTGTTAACCAGTACTATCAGTTAGAAAAAAAAAGCAAAATTATTACATATTCGTTGAACCGTAAAAGTGCACAAGACGTATAGGTTTTAACCCATCTGATAAAAAGCAAAACAGGTAACGATGTCTTTTCGCTTTTGGTCATCGAAATGATAAAATGTTAATTAAAATGAGCGTAATAATTGAAATAATCATCAAAATGCGTTTTTTCTTTTGAATAGATCCAGGTGTTGTGATAACATTTTATCGAATTGTCATAGCGCAGGGATGTGTTTACAGGGTTTTCTCTGTACTGCACAATGTCCACTCACATATATCATGTCCACTGAGTATGTGTGAAAATTGATAGCAAGCTTTGTATAGCGAATTTCTAATATTTCCTGCCATCCTAAAACTTGCAAGACATTTTCCCTACTAATTAATCTTAAACATCCGCTCACAGCTAAAGCAAACTTTTATTGAATTGCAGAAATTAATGACAAATTTTCCAGGGCCTGTTCTTACGTTAGATAGCAGCTAAAAGATCATACTTGGAAAAAATGAAGATAACTTTAAGTAAGGCATGGGCTTATCTTGTATTAGGTGTTAAAATGTCGTGGAAACGATTGGTCTTCCGTAAGTCCGTTGACCAAATGGTTCTTGAAACAAAAGAAAATGTTTTTAATCGGCCATTGAACTTTCTTCATTTGAATACATTAGGATTGGGGGCAATTATCGGTGAGTTCGTCGAGAAAGTTGAAAGTAATCTCTTTTTCTTTTCTTGTTCATTCTAGGTGCTGGTATATTTGTTTTAAGTGGTGAAGCTGCGGCAAACGTTGCTGGACCATCAATTATTGTTTCTTATTGTATTGCAGCAGTGGTAGCTGCTCTGGCTGCGCTCTCTTATTGTGAAATGGCTTCGATGGTACCGATCTCTGGCTCGTCGTATTCATATGTCTATACGACAATGGGTGAGTTTGCTGGTTGGCTGGTAGGATGGGATTTGTGTCTTGAATATATGATGGGTGTCTCTGTTGTGGCTGTTGGCTGGTCGGGTTACGTAGCTTCATTTATTAGATTATTGTTTTCAACAGGAATCGAACATCGAATCCTCGATGCGCCACTTAACTGGAATGACACGACACAGAGTTTTTATTGGAATGGATCATACTTCAACTTACCTGCCATTCTCATTATTATAGCATTAACGGCTCTTCTAGTTTACGATATTGATGTTTCTGCCACATTTAACAGCATTATAGTCCTACTTAAAATAGTCATTATGCTTATATTTATCACCGCCTGTATTAAATTTATTAATCCCAAAAACTATCGTCCATTTATTCCTAAAAATCTGGGCGGTAATAAGTATGGTGTAATTGGGATGTTTCATGCTTCGACCATTGTCTTTTTCTCGTTTATTGGCTTTGATGCTATAACAACAGCGGCACAAGAAACAAAAAAAGAATCACAAAATACACTTGCGATTAGTATCATGACATCATTAATGGTTTCAACTGTTCTGTATCTTGGTTTTATTTCGGTGCTTGTTGGAGTTGTCTCGTACGAATCACTCAATGTTCATAACCCAATTTCGACTGTTACACGAGCAATGAACATGAAATGGCTTGAAATTACGGTAGATGTAGGTGCTATATTGGGCTTGACTTCGGTAACCCTAGTTAATTTATTTGCGCAACCACGAATTTTATATGTTATGTCAAAAGATGGTTTATTACCAAAATTTTTTTCTAAACTACGTTCAACAAAGCAAAAGAAAGCAAAAAATTTACCAACAGCATCCGACCAAACGCGTGTCGATGTAGACGAATCAATATCAAATCCTCCAGCCGTGATAAGAGCTACTTCTACTAAACCTCAAAATGCACAACCACAAACTCTGGGATCACCGTATGCAGCCACAATTGTTACAGGTACATAAATGTGCATTTATCAACCAAAGACGTCTTCTAAGATGTTATGGTTTTCTTCTTTTAGGGGTTATTTGTGCATTAGTCGCTGGTTTTGTTCCAATTAACTTTTTAGCTGAAATTACTTCAGTGGGTACATTATTTTCTTTTTTACTTGTTCATGTTGGTGTATTTATAATGCACTGGAGTCATAAATACGTTCCACGTTCTTTCCGTTTTCCAAGTCGAACATTATTTATACCGATTCTCGGAATTTTGTCAAGTCTCTTACTAATGCATACATCCTCACAATGGACTAAGATAAGATTTGGCATTTGGACAATTATTGGATTGATAGTTTATTTTTCATATAGTTTGAAAAGATCGGTCATGTGGAATATACACAAAGCTGCAGAAAACTGTAATGTAGAAGGAATAATTGATACATGCAATGGGCTACATGAACTTGCAGTTACGACGCTTAAAGGTCAAGAGACTCATACCGGAGAAACAACAGCGCAACCTCCTCGAATAGTCATGGATTTAACTATCGTGCATGCAACAATTCGCTAAAATGATCATTAATATAATACATAGATCCTTCGGTTAAGAGCCCTGTTTTACGGACATCCGGGGACGAAAAACTTTCCTGATCTCCATTTCTGTAAAAAAGATTGTAACTAGTACTGAAAAGAAACTGTTGCTCATCTCTCTAAAATCTAACTAGTCTGTTTAGTATTGTTTAGGCATTCATGTTTTACGGGAAGATGAGAAAAACTTTTAAATTATTGGAACCTATTGGATGCGAAAAATGGATTAAAAGACTGAGCAACTCAGCTTACTATTGCACTGGTACAAAAAATCTCTTAATCCTTTTGATACTCAAATAAAACTCTTTACTACTATACATAAAGTTCAGTTCAAGTAGTGTCATTTCAAAATCGAAAAATAGGCTAGAGAATTCCTTTCAGTACGCATACGAGAAATATTTCTAATTTTGAATAATCGTTCAACGAGGAACTGTATAAACGTTTTGTTTGCATTTCATTGAGAAAAATTGGAATATTAATTTTCGAAAACTAATAACTTTCAAATACAAACAAATTAGAGATTCTATTTTCGAAGCATTCTGGAAAACCTGAACGCTACTAAACGAAGTATTTGATTTTTGGTCAGAAATTTTGGCAAATCGTACAGGCTTATAGAACAAAGAATGCTGAGCAAATTAAGATATCTCCCAGCCGTCTATTTTAAGTTTTCAACGGAATATTTTGGCTGTTTTCTTAGAAAAATTCGTGCATATTACCTTTTGTAAATCGTCACCAGTTCAGTGAGAAAGCACCATAGACAGCTGGGATATATCTTATTTCACTCTCTCTAAGACTGTACGATTTGAAAAAAGACTTCTGACCAAAAACCAAATACTTCGTTTGCTAGCGTTAAGGTTTTGTAGAAGTCCTAAAGAGTGTCCCACAAATTCTGAAACGATTTCTAGAACGATGAATTTACAAATGGTTTCAGAAAACAAAATTCCTTACTATATCAAACGATAGACAATTTAATTCTCTACAAGATTGTATACTCATTTTTAAGGTTCATCTTTGATGTTTGGCATGAAAATTCTAACAGGAAAAGCTTCAATATTTTTAACGGCACAATGCAGTCTTAAAGTGCAAACTGCTCTCTTTTTTTAATTGCTTATAATGAGCATAAAAAGATTTGAAATAATTTTACTACAGTCAAATGGTGAAGAATTTAATGCTTTACAAAAGCGTACTTGAAGGAAATTTATTTCAATTGCCAGTGTCTTTAATACATAAACTTCCAAGTCTACCGAAGTTTCTAGCACTAAAAGAAAGTTTTTACTGTTCCAGTATAAAATCCAAAGTTCAGATCATTAGTTTACAGACTAAAAAATGCAGACTTTCGCGCTCTATTAGACTTCGTAACTTACAAACAAAACTGCTACTTTTTCTACCTGAAAAACTAGGAAATACTGGTTGCGCTAAGATAGCCGGGAAATAGGAGAAAATTACTTTCCTTAAAGACTCTTTTCGCTCTGATTTCGTCTAAAAAGAGCATTGCTTGTCATTAAAAAGAAGTATAATATTGTAGAAAATGTCTTGCTGAATTTTCGGTATACTTTATTTTGTTGAATACGTGATTTTTAGCGAGGTTTTGCGCAAAAAATCGATCTTTTGAAGGTTAAGAAGCTTGTCCTGTGCAGACTTACTGTGCCGAACATCAAAGATGAATCTTAAAAATGAATATACAATGTTGTAGAGAATTAAATTGTCTATCGTTTGATATAGTAAGAATTTTGTTTTCTGAAACGATTTGTAAATTCATCGTTCTAGAACGTATCTTCGAACATATATTTTGTGACTGGACGCACCTGTCGAAATACTCTGACTATCTCAGGCTGTAGAGAATTTCAAGGGCTTTTAGTCGTGTATCCAGTTAGTCTATTGAGTCTAAAACAGCTGAGAAAAGCAGCGTTTACTCATTACGTAGGCCTCATTTTGAGGGTGTTGATTAGCGTGGTATTGGAAAGAAATTGACGGGATTTTAGTGCACAAATGTGTTTGATTTTGCTTGGTACCGAATACAGATAGTTCTTCCCTCTATACGAAGCCACTATTAGTTGAAAACATGAGTGGGTCGATTTTTAACCTTATGAGGACCCGTGCTTTTAAAAAATGATGAAGTAAACGATTTGAAGAATGAATTAGAAAATGTGTGATAACAGTATCCGTATCGGGATAGGTTAGGTATTAGTGCAGATGAGAGAATACCAAAAAGCCGGACAGTATTTCCAATTGATAATTGAACAATTACCTCATCCAGCTCTCGATGGTCTCTATAACGGTCTTGGCATGATTTTTAATAATACAAGTGACTGTCGAAAATTATAAAAATATCACAATCAGACATTAAAACGCTATATGAAGTGTGACATTTACTCGATAGAGAATGATATGGGTACAATTTACACCCATATTCGCTCCGCTTGCTATCACACCGCCAGCTTGAATTTAGCATTAGACCATCACAATCTTGTAGCTGATCTTCAATAAAAGCCTAAATGTGTGATTCTAGCACGACGAATTTCAGGAATAGTTTCCTTAGAACGCATTATTTTAAAATTTTGTGTTTTTGAACAGGCAGTCCTGACTCTGTGCTACAAAGGACGTTGAAAAATCCTACAGGAATGGACACTTCCTCAAAATCCCAGGCCCAATAGACACGGTCGTAAACGACCGTATACGGCCACGTACGGCGATATACACCAGCTGTATACGGTGGTTGTATTACGACGAAATACGGTGGTTTACGACTGCCGTATACGGTGAATTTTCGGTGCCGTGTGTTCCTTGGAATTCCATCGCAAAATGTTTTCTTATGAGTTTTCCAATATGAACAAGTGTTCTTATGTGATCAAAATGGCATCAAATTGTTCTTTTGATCAACTATTCAGATCCAAAAAACGGCGCGTTGACATTCTCAAAACGGCAAAAAAACAGCCAGTTGGTGGCCAATCTCTCGGTGGCACCTTACAATTTATTTCCACTTCAGCAAACTACGGTTTCTATACTATGTATGAAAGTTTGACGGAAGCTGTGGTAAGGTATTTTCATACATGGGAGCCCACGCTTAGAAATTCATGATATTTATTGCAAACATGAACAGCAAATTCACACTGTCAGTCCGTCTGCACTTTCCCAATCGAGAAATATGTCCCGATCGGGAAACTTTCCCAATCGGGAAAGATGTTATCTCATGAACCATAAGTCGTCTGTAGTGCGACCAGGTTTTATTCTGTTGCTTAGGTGATTTACATTTGCTCTATGTGAAAAGCTGAAGCTCCTCTTTGAACGTTGGTTACGTGCCATCCTAAAACAACTTTTTGCTGAAAAATCCCTTATTTTTATTTCCCGATCGCGGAATAAGAGAGGATATTTCCTGTTCTGGAAAGGTCAACTATTTCCCGTTTGGGAAAGAAATATTTCCTGATCGAAAAATAATGCGATACTATGCACTGTACTCTTCTTAACACTCATTTTGACTTTCTCAGTGCTAACATCTCAACCGGAACCGGATGAAGAGAAAAGAAATTGAATAATTTGTTCGGCTACGTATCGAAAGCCGTTAGATTGTCCTATCCAATGGCTAAAGTTAGAGCTTATTAATTCAACTGTAGAGTTGTTGATGCCTCTAGTGAACTTTATGAAAGAAGTTCTTGCTTGAAAATATTTGTTATTGACATTTTTTGTAGTGTGATCAAAACTTTAACTTTGATGAGTCATTCTAAAAACGATAGTGAAAATATCTAGGTCGTGTCAGAAATGTATATTTCGTTCTTCTTCCATGTGACTGTACTGTGCAGTTCGATTGTGAAACGTGTGCTTTTCAATTTTTTTCCGACAATGCTTATTCTCTGTATCGTGAATAGATAAACAAGAGAAAGTAACTGACATGTCTAAAAAATATAACAATTTAGATTATACATATCAGTTTATCTAAAACGTTTATAGTGAAACTATCCATTATATGTCATCTTCGAAGAGTCATCATACAGGTCGCATAAATATCAAATTTAAAGCTGATGCTCAAGAACGTGCTTAGTCAAAATCCAAACGGAAGAAAACGATGATAAAAAAGTAGGTGTTAATTTGTACATGTAAGCCTATAGATAAGTTAAATCTGTGCACGTTGCGTTAGCCAATTTGAGATTCTGAGTTTGATAGGCTTTGTAGTACAAACATTTGTTTTTAACACATTTAGATCAAAAACCACTTAGGTTCGATTGCAAAACTTTTCCATTGAGACTGCATAACTCTCTTTTTTGTAAGACTTGACTTATTCGTAAACATTTACGCCAGTTTAACATATCTTTAAGTAAATTAGTTCTATGATACGTTCGGGAGGATGGTTTTATACTCATATTTTTAAATACTGTTGTGCGAATCTAAATATACAACATGAGAGTTACACTAACTTTTCTCAGAGTCTTGGGAGTAGTAAGAGCAAGAGCGTACATGAGAAAACGAAATGAATTTTGTTGAAAGCCTTTGCTAAACGTATGTGAGAGAAAGGAACTTAATATTGTTGCTGTATTTGTTGTAGGTAACCGAGTACGTTTCTGTTACTAAAGAAACGGCAGCACTTGTACTCGACAGCACAAGTGGTATAACTGTAGAAGGTCCATGTACAGAATTTAACGATGATATTCTCAATGTTCTCGATGCCAAACCTAATATGAAATCACGCGGTACTCAGTATTCTGTACTAGATATATCAGTCAAAAAAGGTTGCATAATTTGTGGAGAATTATTTAAAAAAGGTGATGAAGTTTTGACATGCAGGATATCTTCATGTAAAAATTCTGTGCATGTTCGCTATTTAGGAATAGTCGAAATTCGTGCAAAGGCTTTAGATTGCCTCACATATCATTGTAATATTCATCTGTGAGTTTTTATCCGTGATTTTATCAAATAAAACAAAAGAATGTTAAACTTTTTATATATATCTATATTTCGATTGACCGTCATCCAGATCTTCTCTGTAGGAAC